CTCTGCCTCCTACATAGAAAAGCGATCAACAGAACACAAGAAAAATCCCCACACAGGCATATCCATCCACAGGAAGCTATGGCTAGTTAAATTCATCTGTGGCCCAACCGGCCAAGGGGCATGAAATATGGAAATATCTTTGCTTTGTCTTGTCTGAAGGACAAATCAGAACAGCACTCTGTTTGATCTCTTTCTGCATTACATAATCCAAGGTCCTGTGAAGAGTACCAGACTCTGTCCCCACAACCTGCAGTCCTCGACTTTAACTCCACAGAGCACAGGACGCTCTCTGAAGGTCTCATTTTCTCTCTCAACCTTTGACCTTCACCCAGACTATGACCTTGACCCGTGCCTTGGCTTATTCAACTTTATGCTCCCCTCTACTGTCAAGACATGTCCTCAGCCTTCCCAAATTCTTTGTATCTGAGAAGCCCAGGTGTCACTTCCAGGATGCTTCCAAACTTTCCTACTGAGCCAGGGACCCTCTTCCGCGTTCCTGTATGCCCTCAGTCTGCTAGCAACTCTCGTGCTCTTTCTGGGTAGAGAAAACATCTTTACTTGGCATCTCTAAGATGCCAACCAAGTACAGGCTCTATGCTCCTTAAATATTTTCAGTTGACTACACACATGAGCAAATTTAACAAATGCTCATCGGGATGAACCCACCTGAGGGAACTGTATGACTATGCACTACACGTTGTTTCCACTTTTAACCTCAAAAGCAATCGCCTTCAAAGAGTCTCAAAAGAATTGTGGGTGGGGGAGGAGTAAAGATGTGATATGAGCAACGGGATGCTGGGAACCACTGAAGATGGTGTCTCGCACAGGAAACTCACTGCCATGTGCTGTTTATGTGCGTGGGGCATTTCCCTAAGTAACAGCTAAAAGCCCGCACCCCTGTGCTCATGTGAATAAGTATTAATGACGATTCAGTAATAAAAAGGAACTGGAAAGAGAGAGGAAGGAAGGAAGGAAAGGAAACTTAATGGTGCCAAGTCACTTAGGGGGTCACCTACTGTTTGTCTTCTCTCCTCCTCCTCACTCTGAGATAGTTATAGATGGAGAAACTGAGGCTTGATGCTGGGGAAGTGAAACAGCCAGAATTTAACCCTTTAAACCTGTGTCCAACTCCGCAGTCCTCGAGCCTCGGCTTCCTATTTGCTAGGACAATGGATGGGTACACCACACCGGCTGTCTTTGCCACTACGTTGCTTAAGAACCGTATCTGGACAGATTACATTATCTGGGATGGTTAACTTATTAAAACTTAATCCAAAAAAAAGAAAACTATTAAAATCCCAAGAAGTAATAGTTATACCCTAGAAGCATTCCCACACCAGGGACAGTGGTTCTTCCGGTGTGCGCCTTCCGGGTAGTGCAGTGCAGTACCTTTATTTGTTTCCAGTATCCAAAGACCTGGCTGAGCCTCTGCCTGGCTCCCTTGGACACACATTACCATGATAACAACTTGGCAGAGACTCCGGGCCAGGTTTCAACAGACACCACCAACTAACTGTAGGTCACCATAGGTGGAGATGTGTGCATCAGCTCTACGCCACACCCAGGAGTACACACAAAGCTGTCTTCTGCAACACTCCGGAGCCTTAACCTCCAAGACACCTTGTACATGAATGCTGCCAGTCATAACAGGCCACCTCAAGTGTGTCCCCTTTCCTGGCCAGGGTGCCGCTCTGACAGATGCCAGACTTAGCATCACGAGAGATGAGCCCATTATGGACTTGGAAAACTGCTGCCACTTCTTACTGCATCTTCTCCCAGCCAAGAAAACAATCACATGGTGCTCAGGATGGTGCCGAATGTGTGGAAATATGGGCCTCTTCCCTGCTGCTAATGTCCCCATCACCAGTGGAAGCCAAGGCTGCAGTCCAAACACATCATCCCTTAAGGCCTATTTGGTGCTAAGTAAAAATGTTCCCCATCGATATGTGAATCAGAACCTCTGCATGGACTGTGGAGTTCCTACCATCTGCACTCCCTGTTCCCTTCCTCCACATTGGCCCCAAGGACACGCTACCAAATGCTGTATTCTAGTCAGGCCCTCGAGAAATAGCTTGTCATCTCGTCCAGAAAGGTAATTACTGACATAATTATCAAAACCTTTTATTTTTCAGGGCTAAGTCGAGCATCTCTCTAGGAAAGCCGCCCTTCTGGTTTGTTTGTTCTCCAGCTGATATGTAATTAGCTCTTAGGGATCATGGAGGGATTCTCACCCCTGACATTTCAAAGCAAAACACAAACACCTAAACACCTTTCTACACAACAGTTTTCTCAAATGCCAAAATTTATCCAGAAGGTTTAGAATAAGCCAGTCATAAAACAATTTAACCTGTCACCCCCAAGCTTCCTGGACTCTGTGTCTTTTGGTCTCAAATACAGGATGGCTTCCAACTCGCTATGGGGCAGAGGGTGGCTTTCAACTCTTGATCCTCTTGTCTCCACTTTTCAAGGGCTATGATGATAGGCATACACCAACACGCCCAGTGAATGTTGTACTGGGAACCCAAATGGAAGCTTCCTGCACTCCAGGCAAGCACTCTTATTTACTGATCTCTATCCCAGCCCCGTGAAGCTGTCTTCTACATGACTTTGCAACCACATGACACACATCCAGCCACTGTTTCTCCTATGAAATGTCTTAGGCTACTAGTACATGATGATGTCATTACCACATTGGGTAGGTTATTCTTTTTTGTTTTTTTCAAGACAGGGTTTCTCTGTGTAGCTTTGGAGGCTGTCCTGGAACTCGCTCTGTAGACCAGGCTGGCCTCGAACTCACAGAGGTCCACCTGCCTCCTGAGTGCTGGGATTAAAGGTGTGTGCCACTGACGACCGGCCTTGGGTGGGTTATTCTTTCTCAAAGCTACCTCTTAGTTTCTTTGCCAGGGCAGCCAAGGAATACAGAACACAGCTCCTCTATCTAAGTCCTCAGGCCAGAAGCGGCTGCAAACAGGTAAATATGGAGATGATGATAACTGATATGTTTGAAGGAAGGACTGAAATCCTAGACACATACTTAAAATTCAGATGGAATAAAATGAAGGGGGGTGGGTGTTTAGAGCTGAAAGTTAGAGGTGTACAAGAAAATGGATCACCGCTGTTGCAGATCATGACAAGCTAAACACTGCGAGAGGGGACTTTGAGCAAGATGCTGGCATTGTACGTGTGGCCTCACAAATGGACGAACCTGAATTGTATCTAACACAGATGTGTAGGCTCTGGAGCTGTGTGAATGACATCTGCAGATCCATTTGCAAACCTGACCAGCAGCAGCAGCTCCGACAATAATCCCCTTTCCCTCTCTGACTCGCCTGGAATTTCAGTGAAAGAAGACATGAAGGTAGCTCTCTGGGATCCTACTGATCTCTCTAAGCACAGTTTAAAAATGAACAGTCAAATCCCCAGCCTGGTTCAAATTGGTTCCCATCAATTTTACCCACTACCACCTTTGATGGGAGCTAATTAAGCTCCTGTGATTTTCCCCCCAGACTGTCTCTTTCTGCTCTGGATGAGAACTCACCAAATTAGGCCCATCTGTCTAAACAGGAAGAAGGCTACTTATTCCACTGACAGGCTTCTTCTCCTACTGAGAAGCAGCCTTAGGGGGTTCCCAGATACCTTAGGGAACTATGGTAGCCCAAAATGGACACAAGCTAGAATTTGGAGACGAGAATTCCAGTGCTGTGTCAGCCATCGAGTAGCCATCCTCAGCCATCCCTCCCTTGCACAGTGAGATGCTGTGAGAGACTACCATTCATTCAAGCGCAAGAATTAAGGGTTAGGGCTAGAGCTCAGTGGTATGGCACTTGCTTAGCATGTGACAAGGACCTGGATTTGTTCCCCAACTTTGCAAAAAAAAAAAAAAAAAAAAAAAAAAAAAAAAAGGAAAAAAAGAAAACAACCAATACCAGCAGGGCAGGTGATACACCAAAATTGGCCGAGTGCAGTGCTTGCCTGGAGTATATGAAGGCCTCCTCGGTTCCATCCCCCGCAACACATCAACCCAACCCGCCACTGCAGGTCTACGCTCTCAGCAATTGGGAACCAGAGTCCGGGGATCACTTCTTCCTACTTGGGAAGTGCAAACTTAGACTGAGATACATGAAACTCTGTCTCCAAAAATACAATAGGGCCGACGAGAAGCTACTGAGGGGCAGGAGACAGAGATGGATCCAGTTGAAAGTGGTAGGTGTAAGGGACGGGATGTTTTCCAGGCGATGTGCAGCTCAGAACTACGAGCACACGGTCAGACCAGGCCCCACTAACTTTACGGGCAGATGTTTATACTTCAGGCATATGACTTCACCATCCTTATGTGAGAGAAATAACAGTGTCTTGAAAGATAATGCCTGCAAAGCGATCCCAACGATACTAGAGAACTGCCATAAAGTGTTAAGACGTAGGACGTGATCTTTTTTAAATATTATCTGCCTCACAGATTTTTTTTTTTAATGTTCAGACAAACACTGAAACTCACATGAAAGCCCCTAATTGCCAGGGGGAGAAGCTATGACTGGCTTGTGCCTTCTTTGAATTTCAGTTTACTTTCTAAAAGCTCACTGGCAGAGACTTTACCTAACGCATATATCACACAAGGCTCTGGAGTCCATCCCCTTCACCCATGGGGTGGGGGGAGGTGACCAGAAGGAAAGAAATAAGGAAGAAAACTGAAGGTTGCCTTGACAAGTCCTCAGCTGTTAGTCAATGACAAAACATAGTATCAACTGGCCAATAACAGAAATATCCCTTCTCTTTAAGATTTATAAAAAAGAAAAGAAAGGTCTAGCTTTTCAGCAACTGCACAAGTTTGGTCAACACTCTTATCAAAAGAACAGGGTTGGTCTTGTGAGACTCTGGTGTTTCACCACATCTAGCCAGAAGCTGACAGATTGAGCCTCCCGGACCAGGGGGCTGGAAGACCCGGAGCATCAATGGGAACTGCCCTCCTCAACAGCAGCCATTTCCCACAGCCAAACGCTCACCAAATCCAGGTCCTGGGAAACTCGCCGCTTCCGAAGCTCCTCCATCCGCTCGCAAACATCAGAGAAGCAGGTATTGTAATAGTCTGCATACTGCTGAGCCAAGTCATCAATGTTTCCCAGGGAACCATCCTGAGGGGAGGAAGAGAGAGGAAGCAAACACAGGAGGTCAGGTGAGTCTCCTTTGGAAAGGCAACCCAGCATCAGATGCCCCCCCCCACCCAATCCCACTGCTGCCAAGTGTTATAGAAGCAATGACTGATACTCGTTACCTGGTACACCCCGGGCTAGGCTCGGTTTTACACGTGCCATAGAATGCCCCCGACAGTCCTTGGATACGTGACCAGTTCTTTTCCTGATTATGTTTCTGGGGAAACCAGCTCAGAGTACATGAGTAAGCTGCCTGTAGATAGATCCCAGAGCTAACAAAAAGCCAGGTCTCCCTTTGGATCTACTGAGACCAAAACCATGGCAACTCGCTTAGCCCTGCCTATCGTGGTTGAGATCGGAGCCACCAGGGATGAAGTGTAGTTAGAAGTCACCGTGACAGGGTCACTGACACCCAACCCTGGCTATGTATGCTCAGCATTTCCCAGGAAATGTCCAAAACTCTGAGTGAGTTCTTCATCTCCAGGTTCCATGGGAGGAGGCTACATCTAGGGTACCCTGTATGCCCTCACACGAGACAAAAAAAAAAAAAAAAAAAAAAAAAATAGAAAGCCTTTAGTTATTTGTGCTTGCCAGGAGTCATCGCTCATGGTTGTAGTCATTAATATTCATGTTGTTCATTAGATTTGTTATTCATTAGACATCCAGGCACAAGAGCACATGGCACAAGTTCGCCTAAATAAATAAACACACGTGTCACTTGTCTCTTCACAGAGGCGGGCTCACAGGCAGTCCTGTGAGTTTACGTCCGTTTCTGTGATCCTCTCAATTATCTAGCCTGGAGCTCATTTCTCAACCTCTTGGTGACACTGGGTTAATGACAGCCCCCACCAGACAGTAAGCAGGAATGGGGCATTGCCTCTGAACATGCCAACCGCCTGGCACACAGCAAAGATGCAATACTTGCTTACACAATGGCACTCAGTACACGAGGTGAGCATATTGCTCTTTTCCTCAAGGCTAGTGGATTCCTCAGCGCAAGTCTGAACGCGCACACAGAGGGTGACCGGGATGCTATGTCTGTTTGAACTATGCATTTATTTCTTCTATCATTGTCTTCCCCCCCAGAAGATACCTCCCCTCCTCTGCTCCATTGACTTGACCAGGAGAGCCAAGTAGAATGTGATTTTTACTAAGACAGCCACAGTACAGATGATCTAAAGTGCACACCCAAATATCCACACTGTAGACTGGCTGTCAGCCCCTTTGGTCACTAATATTAGTGCATTGTCTGTAGCAACAGATCCCTCACAGCAAAGCAGCCTTACAGACAGCAGAATTGGGGTTAAATGCCTCCTGAAGTCCTTCTGCTACAGCTTAAGCCTTAGACAGGAGGTCTACGGCAGCTAGTGACCATCTCCTCCTACTTCTGCGTTTTTTGACTTTAGGAACTAAGGGAGGGGAGAAACAGAAATTGCAATGAATGGTTTTCTAGAAATGCTCCTTCCTTTGGACCACGAACACATTCTGCCTCAGAGTTCCTAGCAAAGAGTGTGAAGAGAGAGAGATGCGGACGAGGCCAGTAAGGTCTGCGAGCATTTGAAACATGCCTGGGCAAAAGTTATTCTCCAAATACAAGTCACCTTGTCTGGAAAACCCAGGCTAGATGCAGCAGGAGAGGAGGGAGCCTACCATCTGCCCTCCAGGGTGCCTGTGAGGAGTGACGGCAAGATGGAGATAAGGGGGAGGACAAAGTGTGTGTCCAACTCACTGCCCTGCACTAGACAACAGCCAGGCCTCTGGGGAACACCGGGTCCCTCATTTTCTATGCCTTTCCACACTGTGGTGCTATCCTCACCCAGAAATTTCTGTCTTCATCCATCATAGAAACAACACGCTTGTCATGCTGGACTAAACACACAAGTTCCATCTTCTAATACCCAAGTGTCATACTTCATGTTTCCCTTTGCCCACTGTGTGTGTGTGTGTGTGTGTGTGTGTGTGTGTGTGTGTGTGTGTGTGTGTCTGTCTGTCTGTCTGTCTGTCCACTTGTCTTCACCATCTGTCTGTCTGCCTTTTTGTAAGTGCCCATTGAGGCCAGAGGAGAGTACTAGATCCTGGGTACCTAGAGTGACAGATAGTTTTGAGCCACTGTGTGAGTGCTGGAAACCAAACCTGAGTCCTCTACAAGACAGTACAAGCTCTTAACCCTAAGTCATCTATCTAGCTCTTGCCTGCTGTTTTTGAAGCAAAAAAAAAAAAAAAAAAAAAAAAATCTCCCCCTCCAAATAGATTTCCAACTTCTGTCACACACAATGAGCATTTAGTGGTGAATGTGGTTCGGCTGATGGATTACTTGCCTAATATACACAGAGCCCTAGGTTCGATCCACAGCAAAACATAAACAGAATCCAGTGAAGTGGGTCCCAACCCCTTTGGGGTGAAGACTAAACAACCCTTTCACAGAGGTCGCCCGAGACCACCCTGCATATCCAATATTTACACCACAATTTGTAACGGTAGCAAAATTACAGTTATGAAGTAGCGATGAAGATAATTTTGTTGGGGATCATCACAACATGGGGAACTGTATATATTAAGGGCCACAGCATTGGGAAGGTTGAAGATCTTAGTGCTTCATGCCTATAATCCCAGCATTTAGGAGGTGGGGGACGGGAGGATCAGAAGTTCAAGATTATCCTCAGCTAGATCACTAGTTGGAGACTAGCCTGAGACCCTGTCTCAAACAAACAAACAAACAAAATGGATGCTTATGTACAACTTTCCCTGTTGTGAACTGTGGAATCAGTCACATTGTTTCCTTGGATTGACCCAGGACACCTGAAAACATTAGAAGACAATCACTTACATAACTATATTCAAACCCTGCTCTTTTTACTCTCTTCATATGTCCTATGGATGTTCAATGTCGCCTATTTAGATATGGAGCTGTGACCACTGGTCATTTCCTCACACCAGCCCAGCAGTTGGCTTTTTAGCCCCATTCTGCATCGCTCAGAACCCCCCTGGCACTCCGGCAGCCTAGAAAAAAACATTTATGTTGCTCCCACAGAAGCAAACATCTGTTCTGCTCCAATCAGGCCACAGCCAGCCCGTATTTCACAACTTCAAAATGGCTGTGTGGCCATTCCTCATTTGTCCCTCAGTGGGTAAGAATTTAAAGTGGGTTGGCACAGCTGCCTTTACGTGCACCCGAAATCACTTTCCAGATGTGCAGTGAGTCCCTATAATTACTACCTTCGCGTGCCCTGATGATTTAAATGCCAACATGTCGAAAGACTACAAGAATGTAAGCGTGTTTTAAAAGTAGGCCTTGTCTGCCCTATCCACAAAATTATCTTTTATGTTCCAATCAAACTGAACCAAGGAAATACCTGGTGATTTTCTCCTTATCCACTCAAACTCCAAGCTCTTAAAAAAAGGGAAACTAGTAATAATGACTAGGGAGGGAGGAGACCCTGGCAACGATGAATTTTACAGTCTCGATGACAGGGATGCTCTCTGCGGGAAGTCTGGTCTCCAGACTCATCCAGGTGTATGCATTAACTATGCAAAGCTTTTTTATGGAACCGTCGTCTCGAAATCTGTTCTCTTCTGGGCAGTGGTTTTGGGTGGTGGGGGTCAGGGGAGCTAATTTATGTTGCTCTTGTTTGAGATGGGTACAGACCCATCACTCCAGGAAAGTATTTACTCCCGCATGAGCCTGGGGGGGGGGGGATTGGAGTAACCCTGCTGATCTCCCACTCCACACAGGATCTTGCTTTCTGTCTCCATTTCTGGAGACAGGGCTCTGGCTGTGTAGCCCAGGCTGACCTCAAGCACGTGTCAATCAAGCTGCTTCAGTCTCCCCAGGGTTGGAATTCCAGGTGCGAGCCAACACACCCAGCCTGCATCTTTCTCCCCAGAGGGCTCACATTAAGGGACACTGGTGACATAAATTAATCTTCTAACAAAAACTATGACTAAATCGTGTCTAAAGTTGCCATCATGAACACCATCCAGAAGACACCAAGACGTTCTTTTTTCTCCTTTTAAAATATTCAGTGTTGAGGCTAGAGAGACACTCCGGAGTCAAGGGGAGCTTGCTGCTCTTGCAGAGGACCTGAGTTCGGCTCCCAGCCCCGACATCTGGAGGCTTACAACTTATAGTCTCTCCAGCTCCGAGGCAGCTGACACATGTACAGACTCCCACACACATATTTTTAATTAGTTATTCAGTTTCTGTTCTAGAATTTATTTACTGCCTAATCAGTTTCACTTCCTTATTTTGCCTTTCTTTTTGTTTCTTACAAATTAAAATAACCCAGTGTAAAGCCTGAATTTAGGAAGAAAATAAATTTCATTTCCTTAAAAGACTGTTGAAGTCGATTGTTAAAGTGCAGGTCCTATTAAAATTCTTCCTAGAAGAAATGTTTTCCCACTCCATCTTTATAAACAAGAAAAAACAAAGGCTGCAGTCCAAGTTCTCTTTCCATACTATGGGAGTCATACGGAGTTCGCGCCTAGTACCCCCATCCACACCATCTGTGTGAATGAAGTCTGGGACACACCATCATGGTCAGGACAGTGGATGGCAACCTGTAACTTCGTCCTGAGAACACTTTTATATCTACCACTCCTCTTACAGTACAGAGCCAGCATAAAAATACCGGGATGAAGTCCTTTGAGCCAACAGTTCAGATTGAACGGAAGGCTCTTGTGACTCAGGGGAAAGAACAGCTTTGTTCTCTCAACAACTACTTTACCAGGGTCTCTCAGATTCATCCCCGATGTACTCCGTGTCTCCGGAAAATGTAAAAGTGAAGATTCTAGGAAAGCAGAAGCCCTACAGATGGCTCTTTTTGCTATTTTTTGTTCTCCTCTCCCCAGATGTCTTTTATAGCTTAGAACATCTTGACGGACTTAAAGAGGGGCAAAGGAAGCAAAACAATGAAATCAGCTCTGAAAACACCAAGAGCTACGAGGACATGGCTCCTATGTGGATTACATGCAAATGAACGCGA